ACATCTGTGAAACTTCTGGTTTTCCTACCTGTGTGGATGTAGTGGGGAAGGCCCAGTCCCACACCGTTACGACACCGTATGTCCTTGAACCAGAAGTAGCATCCATTGTGCTTAGTGAAGAAGAGGCGTGGAAGGTAGAGATGTTGACTATTTTGACACTTTTTAATGGAAAGCATGTTTTCTAGGGTGAAGCGTCTTATTTTGTTGACCTTGTAAAATCAGGGAGGAATTTCTCCCCTCTGATATGTATCCTAGTTTCTGGGTGCACTTTTTTCTTCTCTTTTTGCATCATCAAAGGTTCATGGCTGAACAGGTTACTAAGCCAAACGAACTGGTATTCTGCAACTGTATAGGGACGTATTTGAAGTATCTGGTTAGTACGTCCTGGGTGTGTGTGTAGGGTTGGGTTGATTTCCTGCAAGTCAGTTTGGCAGAGATTTGGACAGTTCTTCAACTTTCTGTCGAGCACAGGTCACAGCTAACTTTCTGAGATCATTTGGATGTATCTCATCCAATCATTTCCCTATATCACAGCCTTTTGGGGGCCTTTCAGTCTCTTCTGCTGCTTGCCTGAGGCATGTATTCTGTTTTATTGAAGAACAAAATATATTCTGTCACTGAAGTATCTAGGTTTGTTATTGAGACTTTGTGTGGACACTGGCTATCTCTTGATACACAGAAAGCCAACTGTTGCAATTTAATGGTTGTAGGAAAGTTGGTGTTCAGAAAGTCAAATTTATAAAGGAAAAACATCCCTCTCCCTGTAACCTTAGAGAGAGACCAGATTGGAAACATGTAATGAAATGTGTTCATTATAATATCCCATAAATATTTCCCCACACATGGCAACAAACTGGGGAAATGCTTATCATTCACACTTAAAAAATAAAAGATGATCCTCCCCCAAATGCAGTGATGCTGAAAAATATTTGAGGATCACTGTGTATAACTGATTCAAATAAAAAAAGATGTTAAAAGCCTAAACGTGAGAGTATCAGCATAGGACAGTAACATTATGTTGTATATTGGATGAAACATAACTGGAAAATCAAATACTGCTCAGGTGTCAATATTTCTTAGAGTATTTAATTTTATTTGTTTTGCTTTTAGAATCAATTTCAAAGTAGGTCTGAGAAAGCATTGCTTATAGTGAGAAAGCAATTTATATATATAAAAATTATTTGGGAGAAAGTTAAGTGACTTGATAACAGAAAATACCCAGAATCAGAAGTTATCTTTTACATTACTTATCATGTTAATATAGCAGAAGAAGACAAAAGAGAAGATACTGTTTGGATGCTGAAGTAAAACAAAGTCAGATAGGAAAAACTGAAGATTTTTAATTTTTAATACCAGATAATATTAGGGGATAGTTGGATTAAGAGGAAGTTGGGCTGTCTGTCACTGACTTCTAAAATCAAAGACTAGATACTTTTCTGTGAATGGATCAGATCTCAGACAGATGTTGTTTGCCAGAGCACGATCTTCAGCCTTTGTTACACTGGTGATCAACTGTTCCTTTTACAGTGAAAACTGACTGATTTCTTAAACACTTGGACACTGAATACCTGCTACTAACGTTAAAGTATTCACATAGGTATTACCATGCTGTTCCTACAGTGTAAGGGTCTAAATGTGTTTCATAATGAAGGCTGCTGTCTAATTCCAGACAAGGCTCAGAAGTGCATAGTGCATCCAGCAGGGCTTTAGATGCTGGACGGATTATTTTATATAAATCTATGTAATTATATGTAATTTTACAGGATGGTTGCCCGGTACACTATCTCTGTGTATACAAACATGAACAGCACACTCATGAGAATGTGTGTTTTAAAGTCATAGCAATGCTTTTGCTTTTTATTGACATGCTTTACCTTTTACTGTAAATATATTGTTTCTTGCTTTTTACAATTATCCTTATAAAAAGATAAAGTAAACATGGATATGGACACTCCAATGAATATGTTTTAAAAAGAACTCCCAAGTTTAAGAAGTACAGAGAGGAGATTTTCTTTATGAGCTACTTAACCGTTTCAATTTGCGTGCAACAGTAAAAACAAAAGCTCAGTAACTATGATTTCTGTATTGCAGTTTAGGAAAACATTACACAATTAATTCCACATAATACTTCCAAAAAATCTGGTTTAATCAGGAGTATGTTTAGGAGTGTTAAACAGCTTCAGAATGCCAAATGCATGCCATGTACTTAAGTGACTAATTGTAATAAAGGTGTTACATCCTCATCTTCTATCACAGTTAATAACTTAGAAACTACGAAAAGTTCCAATTCAAAGTACAACTACTACCTACCTGACTTTTTTCCCCCAAAGGTGTCTTCTCTGGAATACTTCCATTGAAATCTGGTTGTCAGGAAGGAATGTATGTTTCGTGTTGTTGGAAAGAATATCTTTTCATTCCTTTTATTGTAAGCATCGGAGATGCCCAAGGCTTCAAAAAGTCTGGTTTTTAGAGTAAACATTCATGAACTGTAAAGATGGTCTTTCTAATAATACAGGCTTGTAGTTTCTGTGTTTTGCTAGAATGACCGTTTCTGCAACACACAACTCTGTGTTGTGAATATGACACAGGGCTGTGGAGGGGAGGGAGAACTTCAGACATCTTCTCTGCTGTGATCAGCAATGCAGGAGTCTTTAGAAATCACAATTTTTAAATTTGTAAGATAACATTCCCCAGTTCTGCTCAGTTAAACATTTTTGCCCAGTTAAATTCAACGCTAATTTTATAACCATATAAACAATTATTTACACGTTTAATTTTGTTTGCATGCTTGAAGATTCAAAGTTTAATAACTTGTGAAATAAACAAAACAGAGGGCCTGCTTTTAGAACTTGTTCTCTGGGCTGAGTTTTACCCTATGAAATTGAAGGTTACTTGAGATACTACAATTTATTTCATACTTATGTACAGCTTAGTTACTGTCAATAGAATGGATGGTTGTTCTTTTATGAATTTAATAAGAAATAATAACTTGTCTACATAAGATAGGCTAATCAGTACGTTTCTTTGTTATTTTAATAAAGCTGCTCTTGAATTATTTTGCTTTTCAAAGGCCATTTGTTATATCAGTCTTTTTGCTCTCATGTTTTTTATGGTTTCTCCACTTTTTACTTTTTCCTAAAAAATGTGGTATTTTTATCTAGGCAATTGTAAGAGATATCTGTCTAAATTCCGTTTTATTTATCCTGGAATATTTTCTAATAATAGTTCTGTAAAAGTAAAAATATTTTTACACTTGCAACAATGTTTTGCTTGCATATTAAACCTTCATAAACATAAAGGCAACACTATATGTACAAATATAAATTCATATTCAGTGAACAAAATTGGATAATCTGAAAAGCACTGTAGGTGCGCTTCGGATAAAGGGTAGGATATAAATAAAAAGCTTCATGGGTTGAGAAATTTTCTGAAATTGATATGTGTGAAAGATAAAATTGCAGTTATGATATAGTGGGGAGTGGTTCATCTCCTTTCTCAAGCTTTAATTTCTTAAGCTTAATTTTAATATTGCTAATTTATAGGTATTGTGTATTTTCTCCTAAATACTGTGTTTTCCTGGGCAACATTCAGTCTGTATTTCCTTCTGTTGCTAAAATTAAACAAAAGGTGTTAGGGAGTGCTGCACAGAAAGTCAGCCTCCCCAGTTTGTTTGGGGAGGCTGAAACTTTTTTTTCTGTATTTTCTACCTGCACTGTATTCTTTGAAGTTGTAACTCTCTCTAATCAAAAAACCTGAAGTGCTTAAAATTAAGTGATGAAAATTTTATACTATTTTTTCTCTTTTTTTGAGGCTTTTACAGATTTGTAAGAAAGGCATGCTAATTATGATCAGAATGTCAGTGTTTTCCTACCCGTGCTTTTGTAAACATACATGCACTGAATAATATATTATAAAATTTATTTGTGTTATTCCAACATCAGTGAAAAATGGCCCGTTTCTTTTCAAGTGAGTAAAATGAATAGAAAGAGAAATGGTGGAAAATTTTGTGTTAACATTAGAAATGTTTGGCATCTCTGTTAATGCATTATTATTTTTGCAAGTATACAAGAACTGCAAACTAGCATGTTATGCAGCAGATGACTGATAGAATTAAAAAAGCCTATACTTCTAACTAATGTTCATAAATATTCAAGTCTAATTGAAATCAAATGTACATAAAAATGCTGGTGTCAAATAGAACTGATGTTTTTTAGTTTCCCTTAGGACAAAGTATACTATGGGAACATGATAGATGAAGAACTGGTTTTCTGCTCATATAAACATCGGTTTCTCTGCAGAGGCAGTACTTGATTAGGTGTAGAAGTACTGTGCCACATGATTATTGGTTACCCATAGGGATTAAATCCTATTTTGATGGGCTTTCATTATTTTTAGTACCTCATACATTTACTCATGGCAGGAAGGTAAAGAAATATTTAAAAAATAATTTTACTTTTTACATCACCATCAGCAAGGCAGAGCAGACTGACATTTCCCTGCTTGATGTTGTTGTTGCTCTGTAGGTTGGGTTGGTACCGGGAGATGCCTGTGTCCAGCTCAGTGGCTAATATCCAAACAAGCCCAGAGCTGAGATGAGGGTAGCTAGCGCAGGACTTGGGAACCCCACAGTGACCATTTTGCTTTCTGTGTGCTATCGGGAGAATCAGCTGGGGCTGTGTTTCCCTGGTAGACTGGGTGGTGCTGTGCTCTCAGCTCACCGGTCTCTTTGGGTCTCGGTGTCCCATCTGTCAAACGGGAGTAGGACATAGTTCCCTGATTCAGCCATGTGCAGGGAGGATGAATGCATTCTTATGGTCTAAACGGTTCAAACCCTGCAGCAACACCCACACCGAGAAGCCAGGCTTTCCTCAGCTCTGAAGAGGCATCCAACCATAGCAGGCTGGAGGTCTCTGCTAGCCCTTTCACCCTCCCGCTCAGTGTTTGCTGTTGCAGTTTGCTGTGTGTTCTTTCCTTTCAAATAATTTCTTTCTCTTTTCTAGTTTGAGGGTTGCAAGAAAGCCTTTTCCAGACTAGAAAATCTCAAGATTCATTTAAGGAGCCATACGGGTGAAAAGCCGTACGTTTGTCAGCACCCTGGCTGCCAGAAAGCATTCAGCAACTCCAGCGACCGCGCCAAGCACCAGAGGACACACTTGGACACTGTAAGGAAGCAGAAGTCCCATTGCAGTCCCCTGTACATTAGACTCTGTGCTCCTTTCCTCCAGCTTGGTGGCAGCAGGTAGCCCGTTACCTTAGAGGTAGGAGGGAGGAGTGTCTGATGAGGCTGTTTAAGCTGTTTCAGAAGTGACCCAGTAATGTAAGCGTGGATGAAGATGGGCCAAACCAGTTGATAAACAGGCCGCAGCTCCATGGGCTTTGCTGCAGGTAGAGGCAGTAACTTTCTCCCACTTAGGTGATCTTTAGGGAACCTGAAGTCACTATGCAAAGACACAGAAGCCATTTGCGACTCAGTTAAACTTAAGTCTGGGGCATGTACCAGAAGAGAGAGGAAGAATAATTTTGTAAATCTAAAAATTTTGATGCCAACAGATTGTTGCTTGTGAATTTGAGTCACAGCTGAGATTTGTTTAAAAACTTTCGTTTCATAACAAAAGATCGTGTTTCGTCAGAGACAAGCCGTTTCCAAAGGGCAGAAGTCCAGAAAGAAAACGAGAACAATGCCATTTGAATTAAATGGCAGTCACAAAATTTATATTACCCATTTCAAATAGTCAATAGTATGGCTGGTAAGTTAATAATTTGTACAAGGTGTTTTTGGAAATGCTTTGTGAAATGTAAATGGCTAAGTTGCAAAATAGCTAATTTCAGCAAACAGTTGGACCTAATAATGTTCATTTAATACTCTGTATTGTGGACCTACAAGTCTTCAGGGAAGACAGACAGGTTAGAACAAGCAGAAGGAGATCTTTATAGAGATTTGTATTTATTTGGTGAGTTAGATTTATTGGGCTTTCTTTTAAGAAAACTATAAAGGTATTACACGACTGGTATCTTTCTAAAATGACATGTTACTAGAAAATGTGAGCTGAAGGAGTTTGTCTTGTACGTCACATTAAAATGTGTATTTTTGCATGTAATATTTTTGAAACTTCAGTATTTAATGCTTGCTTTGGTTTTTGCTTGCTTTCTTTGTAATGTAGTAAACTAACACTTTCTTGTTCTCTTTTTCTGAAGCAGATTCTTCTATAATCCTAAACAGTCTATCTGGGCCTTTACTGCAGTTTCTGATTCACTAAAGAATGTAATTTCTGATTAAGTCAAAGATTGCTCTGAGGGTGGAAAAATTGTGAGTATAACTAGCAATATTCATTGTACTGATTACAAAAAAAAAAAGGTAACAATGAAAGGTGCCATAATGAAAGCTTTCCTTTGGTTTGTCTTCCTCATAAGACTTACTTTTCTCTTTTCCCTTTCTAATAAATTGCTGAGCATTCTGCTTGTAATAACGTACATCATTTGTGTTCTGTAGTAGTGTGGATGCAGCATCCCCAGGCTCAAAAGGGGTTCTCTTGAGTTAAAATAATCTGTGATATAACAGCTGCTTTATCCTTTTTCTTTTTGACTTAGAAACCTTATGCATGTCAGATTCCAGGATGTACTAAACGATACACAGATCCAAGTTCCCTGAGAAAGCACGTGAAAGCCCATTCTTCCAAAGACCAACAAGTCAGGAAAAAGGTAAATTTTCTACCTTGTTGACTGGTGTAAAGCTTATGTGGAGAAGTCAGTGTTCTAATATTAGATGTTTCAATTCATCTTCAAGTACCTGTGCTGATTTCAGACTGTTGATTAGAAAAAATGTTAATGGGAAATAATAGATACGGTTCTTACATAGATGATAATTTCACCTTTGACTTAATGAGGCTGCCGGCTTTAATGCTTTTTATTTTCTGATGTGATGATTAATCACTAAACATACATAATGAGGCAAATCAAACATAATTTTTGAAAACAGTAATTTTTCTTTTTAAAGTTCTGCCACTTGGTAAATACGTAGTAATACAAAATCCAGTTTACATGGCCAGTCTCAGATGGAAGGATGGATTTTGAGGGCAGATGGACAGTATGTGAGATTAAGCTCTAAATTATATTTCCATGTGTGAGACACTTCCAAATACCAAGACATTTCACAACATTGGTTCCCTGTGGATGTCAAGTCCATGAGTCAACAATTGTTTATATGTATAAGGACATCTTTGAAGAGCTGAGTTGCGAACTAAGGGAATGATTTTTTTTCCCTGAGCATTTTTCATCATATCTCCTATTAATCACTGGTACTATTTCATTAGCTTGTTCAAATCATTGAGGATAAAAATCTAAGCTTTCATTTTAAAGGAAACTGGTTCTGATGAAAGGAGAACATGCATGAACTGGTGTAGGGATAGATAAACCTTTGAGATGTAAACCCCCATGTAAAACAAGTTATAGTTTAGAAGTTTTAAAATTAAATGCCATTCATAGAAAGTAGCAAAAAAATCGCTTCATACAGCATTGGAAGCACTAAGTGACAGTCTTTAAAGCTGCAGTATAGAAATTTGAAGAGTAAGTTTTGATTCAATGCTTTGTTGAAGCAGGACATGGCAGCAGAGACCTGCGTGTCGGCCTCTGAGGAACTGGCCTGTAGTATTCTTGAGGAATTTCCTTTAAACTTATGAGTGCCCGCTCCTGTATCAGGGACAAAATAACTCATTTTCACCTTAATAAGTAGTGCTTTGGCTCCCTTGCTCCTGTGCACGCTGCCCACCGGCAGGACTGCTGAAGGAGTTCTGTGAGCCCTGCCCTGCCTAGGAGGGCAACTCAGCCACCCAGACACTGTCTTTTACAACCATGTAAAGTAAATGCCGATCAAAACGTTGCATTCTGAGAAATTTGTGTGTGATGCCTCAACTAAAACTGGCATAATGGTATTAAACTGCACTGTAACATTACTGTCGTTGAAAGAGAAATAATGTGTTATCTCCTCTCTCTCATTTTGTCAGATTGCAGTACTGTGTGGGATTTTCATTCCTGCATTTCATTCGCTATGTTATTTTGCTCATTTTCCATTCCTTCTTTGTGCCAAACAGTTTAAACCTGGCCCTTTTTACTGCTCGCTTGAGTCTCTATGGGTGCCTTCTAGACTTAAAATTGCTTATTTTTTCATCCCTGTTTGATAAAGATTAATTTATGCTCATTGGTCACCTGAGATACGTTGATATATGGAAGGGGAAATAAGCCAAACTTCCACAAAAAGAAAAGAAAAATTGTGCCATCTATCAAGCCAGATACTTAAAGCATGGACAAAGTTTGCAGTGTATAATGTTTACAAGGTACAACATAGTTACTGGACCTTTGAGAACTTATAATTGCTAACTAGCATCATGCTTTGGTATTTGAAATATTTCCTGGCAGTAATAATAACAAAAAGTAAGAAACAATAAACCTTTTAGTGCAGAATTAAGGTTATTTATGGCTTTAATTAAAAGTGAAAATTGGCTTAATGTCAAAAAAGTCTTTACAAAAATGTGAGTTCATCAAAAATAACCATAAAAATTCCAAGGTGATAAAGGCACAGTGGAGTAATACTTCCAGCCCTAGGGATCTATTCTGTTGAAAAGAATGAAACCCTTTGCTATCACACCCTGTTAGTCATGGATTCATTTAATATATTGTGCCTGACTGCTTTTAATCCTTCTTTTAACCTCCCCTTACACACCAAGTGACATTATTGTGGTGTCTTAAGATGCTGAAAATGTCCAGCAAAACATTTTAGGCATAATTTCTATGCATCATAATATTCAAGCTGTACTTCTAAAATATTCTGGTGGGATAAAAAGCAGTGCTTCCTATCTTATTTTAAAAAGTAAAAATTGCTGACTGTGCCTGGATTTCATATTCCCTTGGGGAAGATGGATGGAGCTCCTTCTAAGCAGGGAAGTCAGCGATAGAAAAGTAGACAGCACCCAAAATGAAAGCATAAAGTGATGCTGAGAGGAACGCTAATGCACAACATGCCCCTGGACTACAATTACTTTTAAAACCTGTCCTCTTCTTTTGTCGTCTCCTCCTTCCAACTTTGAAAGGACAAAAAACTTAAAAGATTTCTTTGTAAGTTGAACAGTTACCATGTGGTGCTTATTACCACAACATGTAATGGAAGCTAAGAGCCATGTGGGATTCTAAGGGAACCGGATATTTCTGTGGGTAATGAGACAGGGTTAAAAAATAAACATGAGATTTGCAAGGGATATCAGTGCTTCAAGATCATGCTTCAGGATAGAAGTCAGCATCAAGCTAAATAGATTAGGGAAAAGCATGGTTATTCTGTACTGCTCATTTGCAGTTTCTCACTCTTTCTTCTGAAATGCCAGCCACTAGTGGACACAGTGCACATAACTTAAAGCAGTCTGGATGGATCTTGGGCCTGATCTGGAAGAAGCATCTGCTTCTAAATTGATACTTTAAAATAACCTTCAGGTTGCCTAGCCTTAATTTATGTATTCTCCTGCTTTTCTCCTTCTCTCATACCATTTTTATAAACCTTTTCTCTTTCAGTTTCCTGTCTTATTCTATCTTCCACCTTTGTAGCTTTGGCTCTTTAGGATACACAACCCAAACTGAACATCTGTAGGTGGCTGAGGTGTGTATGCCGTGGTAAGACCAGTCCCAGGACTTTCTTTTGCCCCAGATATTCCTGTATTCTCTCATCTTTCACCCTGTTTCTTTCCTTTATTTTTTCAAGCAAATGCCACTTAAACATTTGACATGCTGTGTGTTTGTTAATCTTTAGCTAGCTTGGACCTCATATTAATTTAGGATCTCATGAACCATTTACCTTTTCTTTTCACCTCACATCAATAATTACCTAACAACTGTTCAGCTTTTTCAATCTTCCATGCATTTTCAAGGCAGACTAGGACCAGAAGGGGAAATGAGTGGGTTTTTAACTTTTGGGAAACTCTAAAAAGGAGAGAAATCCAGTTTTCAGCTGAGTCACTTCCTGAACTAGCAGCTTCTGTATGAAGAGGGGCTGTAACAGCCTAAACTGATTGTTTCCCAGAATCAATGGTAAACATGAAGGATTTTTGAAAGGAAAGGACGAGGAGGAAAAATTCATGGGTTGAAATTGCAATTTCATTTCTTCTTTCAAATACCCAGTAAAAACAATATAGTTACTTGGCTTGCTTTGTGGAAGTGCAGAGAGTCAGAAGAAAAGGTTAGGAAAACAGAAGGATGAGTGAGGCAGGTATTTGCTTCAGCTAATCTTTGTATTATTTATTCTTCTTACAAAACACTAACCCTATTTTCTGACTTCATAAAATCTGAAAACCATTTATGCATTAATACTTTTTGTTCTGAGTATAGACTGGCTCTGAAAATTGCCAGCCTATAATATTAGGTGCAGCTGTTAATGGTAGAAATATTGTCTATGTGAAGTCAGGGTGAATCATTATGTCTATTAGATCCTATAGTTCTTATTTGTAGAACAGCTTTAACAAGGAAGACTACAGTTGAGAGCTTTGCTTTGGTATCTTCAACAGGGATGAGTAATTTTGTTCCTTGAGTCATCCTGTGGAGTCTCTGACTAGGCAAAAAATAGGGCACTACTTGACACAACTCAGCTTATTTTCAGTTGGTTACACTTTGTGTTTTCAGTAAACAGCAAATTTGTTTCATCTGTGAATTAATGATACTGTATGTGAAAATATTAATCCATAGCTATTTTAGTTTGTAAGTCTTTTTATTGAAGTTAGTGAAAATGAAATTATGCACCATATCATTAACAAAATCCAGAGCCTGCACTATTACCTATCCAGTGATTTGAAACCAATATAGAAGGCAAATACCACCATTATGCTCTTCAAGAAGATCTATTTGTTGTGCAAGCTAGCACTCAGCCCCGTACAAGTACAAGAACATTATCTTTTTCATACAAGTATACTATGAAAAACAATTTGCTATTTCTGCAGGAGTCTTGCTGAAGAAATCTGTATTTGTAAATCTAAAGAACATATTTAATTCACTTTTAAGTATTACAGGGCAAGTCCCACTGCGAATGGAATGGGCCCTTCACGGGCTTTGTGCAGATCTTGTCATGTACATCTGCAATGTCTAATCCCTTTTTTAAAGGTTTTCTCTTTTAAAAAAGTGCATTTTAAAACAGATAAGAGATAATAAAAAAAAAGGACAAAAGATTGCTTTGATTTCATACAGCTGTTTGGCAAGGACAAGATCAGCTCGGTAACATCTACCTTATAATCTGAACAATCCAGTGATTATACTTTTAGATACGGTTTTAATTTTATCCATAATTATACCAGTGAACAACTGTTGTCGTGTATAATAGTTCTTTAAGCCAGTGTGTCCTGCCAAAAAAAAAAAAAGATTTAAAAGATTGTTTCCTTTTGATTAAAGAAAAGTGTAATAGATAAAGATGCAACTGGTTAACTCCATCTTTGGGGGAAAAAAGGAAAAGATAATTTGAGCAGTTCGGATAAACAAGACCAGCTAAAGGGAATGTAAAAGTCTTAGTCTGGGCCTTGACCTGAAAGACAATTTATGCCAAATAATATCATCTTTCAGCTAGATCAGTCTTTGATTCTGTGGCAGTTTTAACAGTGCTCAGACCATGTCTTTGATCTTGTTGTGTAAATCAGTTGTGTATCAGATACATTATATGGACAAGCTTTGAGATATTG